GCGGCGGGGGGCCGCAGAACAGCGGCTACTACAGCATCTCGGCGTCCGCAACGGCGAACGTGGTGAGCGCTCTTCTTTTTGCTCCAGTTAATTTCCATTGTCCGCGCTTTGCATCGATTCCTTTCTGAACTGAAAAAGCTCCATTTTCGACTAGTTTGCAAAGTTTTCCTGGTAAAAGTGCAGGCAAGTTGAAAAGGTTGCATCATGCATGCTTGCTCATGCCTTTTGATAGCCCAAGGTAATATCATGGCATAAAGGAGCATGTCATTGCTTGATCCAAAACTATGTTTCTGTAATGCAAGACATCATAAACATGGTACTTTGAAAATATATAAGATGTTCTAACTTTTCCTGAATCGGATGTACATAGACGCGTTTTAGTGTGTTGTTCACCGATGTCAGTCCTAGTCCATATTGAAATATCTAAAACTTCTCATAATTCAGAACAGAGATGATACATAATAAGAACATGCCACTGGACCGACGTAGACCGTCGATACACACAACTTGCTTGTTCTGGTTGCCATAAAATACAAAACTATGAAACCATAAAGGGGGAGATCAGTGCCAAGTGACCTGTGATCATAAACAAGAAGAACAAATTCTGAGTGACCTGTCTTCATGTAGGCTCTGCTCCCTTTTGGTCACCTGCTGATGTGTCTCCTTGTGTTTGTGCTTGTTCTTGTGCTTGATAGGGTTGGTGGACATGGACACAAGCATGTGCGGCTGTCCTGTTGATGATGATAGCATTCTGATTCTGAGCAACTTCCAAGTTTCTTCAGGGGAAAACTATTTTGTCCTTCCGCTCCAATCTTCCATGTTGTTTCAGTTGATTTAGTCTTGTAATTGGTGGCAAGCTAATGGGTAATATGGGTTAGTCAGTCTCATAAAACCAGGCACCATTTTTATTTTTGTTTACTGGTAATCATGCAATGCAAGGTTAGTTGGATATTTTGATTGTCAAGTCACTGGCTGGCTCCATACTACTCCCTCCGTCCCAATCATAGTGCCAAAAAAACGTCTTACATTTTGGAATGGAGGGAGTAGAAAGCACTTCAAATTTTAGTGCCAACAGTCGAGACAAACCTAGTAAAATACATATGTTTGTTGAAACACTTGTCTTGACAATATACTCCTTTTCCCAGTTTTATGTAAACAATCTAGTAAGTATAAAGATACATATTTTTTTTTGTGACAAACTAAAAATATATCATACAACCGGGGTGTAGATACATTCATGTCTCATACACTAATACTTGGTAGTATATATCTCAAATATTACTAAATTTATGATTATTAAAGAGAGGCTGCCTTCTTCAATTCCCATTAATAGAAACCAAGGTCACATAATATTTCAAATATGGATTTGTATTTGCACATATACATGAGTATTTACCTTTTTTGTGTATGGTATCTAAAAACTGGTGCATAAACTACATAGGTGGTATTATATTATATACTCCATACACTACTGCTATGTATTCCACATTTGTAGTACTGAAAATTTCCGGCGACAGATGCATTTATATAGTCCCACATAACAAACCTAATTAATTCCCTTTTTAAGTAGTAAAAGCTTGGGCACACACCACACAGAACATAGGTACTGCATCCAAAATGATCTTATTATATGGAAAGCATAGAGATGGGCTGAACTGGACCGAAGGAGCATGCTCTGATTTTTGTGTCCTCAAGGTAGAACTTTCTCCCCTGCAAGGGAAAAAGGCTCGTTGTAACGGTGTGTGCGCTTTCCTTTGTACCAAAGGCTCATCTGCTGCAGGAATAATTCAGCCGGGTGTAAATTGCAGCGGAAAGAGGAATGGTTCTGGGTGAGCATGCGTGCATTGTGTGCTATAGACTCGTATCACAGTTGCGCTAAAAAATACTTCTACTCCAAACGGTATTACTTTTTCTTTGCAAGAAATCAACGCAAGGATTCAGCATAACCGAATAATACAGTTGTTCAAAACCACACATGCCCATGCCACGCATCGGCTTTGGAGTATTATCCAAAGTGTCGAGTGGGAAGAGAAAAACACTATAACTGTCTCTCTATGATACACCTAGAACAAATTTATAAGGCCTCTAGTATGGCAAAGTTGGCTTAGTTTTGATGCTTCAGTGAAAGGAAAGGCTGCCAAATAGAAATAAATAGTGGGACGGGATACTCCCAGGCATGCTACTTTATGAACAAATGAACCTCAGTTTGCTCATCTTATAGAGCAGCAGAGTCAGAAAGTAGAGGGCATAACGATCCAACGACGTATGTCGTCTCTTTTGTGTCTGCAATCAACATTACTTCGAAAAGACACTTAAAAGAAATCGAACACGACTATGACCATACAATTTCAAATAGCTACACAAATTAGGAAAAGATAAACAGGAAAGCAATATCAAGATGATACCTTAGCATAACTGCCCACAAAAAGGACCCTCCGGGGACCCAGTCATATCCTTACGACAACCTGACCTCAAACATCTTATGCAAGATCAGAGTTAAATACTTCAGATTAGTGCAAATAAACATCATTATGCAAGATGCGAGGAAAATATTTCAGATTAGCAGATACATTCGCATCAACATCGGCTAACAGCATTTCAGATTAGTCAAAATATTAACATTGATAGGCAGGCAAGCTCTCACTCTGCCCAGCTGGCATCTCCAACACAAAGAAACCTATAGGTATACAAAATCTGATGGAAAGCCAGAGCAACGAAAGGGAAAATGGAGGACAATGAAATGAACTCGTCCATGCCAACTAACTACAGATGCAAGGGGGTATATTAAGTCATGGGTTGTGCAACGTTTTATGTCTGCATAACGATGTACCTTCATTTGCACTATAGGTAATACCAAAAATGAGAATGACTAGAAAAATGGGTTCTGGTAGAAAAAATCATGGGGTGCTTTTAAAGAGCTCCACTATGGGAGGTAAAGATACTAATTGGACCTTATAAAGGGGTGAATCTTTCCCTGCTAGGGAGGAAGCTACAAAGTATGGGCGCAAGGATACTCACAAGACAGGCTGAATCATCCAAATTCAAGAGTGATTAGCCATAGGGAAACATGTGCTCAGTTTTCTTACATCTACATTCTTTAAGTTTCTTTGCAATATTTGGTGTTGACGGCCTATATGTTATTAAAATAAATGTTTTGCAGGCTTCGGCAAAGTTTACTGAACTGGCCAGCAAATGCGCGCAAGAAATGCACACACAGTATATGCTCTGATGCTTAGCTGTTTTTTTTTCTTATGATGCGCTCAATTTTGATTCCTGATTTTCTTGTTATAATGTTCTGAATTTTAATGAAGAAAAGAAACAAAAAAATGAACAGAAACTGCAGGGGGGGATGTGAAAGTGAAAAGGAAATTAAGAGAGGTCCCTGAGAATAGTTAATTCTAAACTATAAATACAATGGTATGAAAAACATAAATGAAACTATATTATATGCTGGATTAATGTTGAGTGTTAGTTGTCTGGTTTCATGGTGATCAGGAAATGGCTTATACATCTGTATGTATGCAAGGATAACTTGTTTTGTTCCTACAGTTCCTCTTTGCCAAATTAAATTAGTAGTAGTTTTTCTCGAATAGAATCATGTGGAGGAAAATAAAGAGCAACCACTCAAGTGAAGGAAAATAAATAACAGAAACTTGGACTCCCTGAGTTAGTTTGCTCAAAACGACACACAAAGACAGAGACAGAGAGAGAGACATGTATGTGCTAGCTATCTCATCACATGCGACAATTCGAATTACTACTACACCTCTAAAACTAGCGAACAGCCTATGTACAATTAATTGGTAAATACTCCCTCCGTATCAAAATATAAGACTTTTTTTGGTCTAGACAGAAACCTGGCTGCTATCATGTTTCTCCTGCAACTATTCCTATGCAAATGTTGTGGGACTACTGCTATTGTAATGCAGATTACAACTGAACACTACCAACAGTACACCAAATAACAGCAAAGAAACATTTCTTGCATAACCATGGGCAGAACTAAATGGAGGATGCACTGGACTAGATATAACACTGCTAAAAAATCGATAAATCTTAACTTTTACAGGCTGCATACAAACAGGAGTTTGGCTGAATGCTTAGAAAGCTCTGCGACTGAACCTAGCTTTCTATGCAACCAAAGTTTCAGTAACATACAAGAATGAAGCCTTTTTCAGAGCCTTTCTAATCCACCCCAATTCCTTGCAATCTCGATTGACATCTAAGTGACGTTTTTCATCTAACATTGAGCAAGAACATAAGAGTGGTTCGCCTTCAACTATTTTCAGATAGCACAAGGTAAAAGAAGCTGAACTCGGTAGCGGTGGCGTCGCCTCCCTGTGACCATGAGAGTGCAGTTGTGATCTGCAATAGCACGTCAGGTAGCAGAGGACCAAGAAATGAACGGAGAAGGTAAAGGTTGCAGGCTGAATTCTTGGAGCCATTACTGTTGCAGAGTAGTACCAAGAACTGAGGGAGCCAGAACTGGAGAGGTATGCACACCGCACTGTACGAGAGCACGAAATTTTCGTCAAGCAGATGCTTTGATTCCTTCTCAACTGTCACCCGACCTGCAGATTAAAGCGAAAGCTCACACAGGTAAAATTCTTGGCCATATCTTTACCTACATGAGGAAAAATAGTTGAACCTTCAATGAAGTAAACCATATTGACAATCATACTGGAAATACTTTTCTCGCCTGTATACAACAAGCGTCAACAGTGCAATTGACTGCAGCATATAGTATAGGAGACTTCAGCATGAGCAATAAAAATTGAAAGTAAATCCTCCAGTGCATACGTACCAGATCACTGAGAATGGCATTCCTATAAATGCATTCATATGAAGGAAATTGACTGTTCCATAGAGATTGCAAAATCTCATGTAGCAGCTAGAAAAAGATTGTATACCTTCACAATCGCCATCAGAAGTCATTACCCCTAAAATTCCAACTAGTTTGTGTTAGACTATTTCCTGAGGAGTTGGTATCAAGAGCAAAGTCAACTACATCCATCAAAAAATTGATACTTTGCTGGGAGCAATTTCATGTCCTCATGATATTTCCCTTTCCTTGAAAATAGAGACAACATCAATGAAGTAGTTGAAGCTTCGAGTGAGATGCTATTCCCATCAACTTTAGACAAATAAATTCCAGCCTTGGCAATCTCACCATTCTCCAACAACAATCTGATGATACCATTTATAAGACGGGAGCTGGGGACTATACCACTTTTTTCCATTGATGAAAACATATTGCTAGCATGTTCCACTGCTCCATCTTTTAGAAGATTTATTATCATTACTGCATAAGTAGATTGATTGGGCACCAACCCACTGGTTGATATTGCAGCAAACAAATTGTTAGCTTCTTCTCTTCTCCGAACCTTGTACATTGCATTGATCATGGTATTGAGTATTGCAATATTGAACTTCATACTCATTGCACCTAATTTCTGGAACAGGGCGATTGCTTCATCTGTGCAGTTATTTCTACAAAGTCCCCTAAGAACTATATTATATGTGGGGATGTCCACTGTTATTCCACTTTCGATCATCTCATGGAACATTGTCCTTGCAGCAACAGTTCTCCCAGCACAAAACAACCCATCCAACATGATGCCATATGTAACAATGTCAGGTTTAATTCTCTTACGCGGCATTTCTCTAAACAGAGCCAAACCATCATTGATCCTTCTATTTTTAAAATAGCCATCAAGAAGTGTACTGTACGTAACAATATCAGGCTCAACACCAACTGATTCCATGGAATTAAACATTCCGAATGCTTTATCCAGCTTGCGGGCCAAGCAATATCCATCAATCAGTGAATTAAATGTAATAACATCAGGCCTCCCACCTAGGTCTATAACCAAGTCAAAGATATCATGTGCATCCATAACCCTTCCTTCCTTGCACATACCGTTTATTACCGAATTGAAGAACACAATGTTAGGACGAGGAATACCTTTGTTTATCATTTGAGAAACCAACTCCTTAGCTTTAACCAAACCACCATGCATACAAAAGCCCTGAATTAGGGACCAATAAACAGGTATGTTCGGCTGTACTCCCAAGGCAACCATCTGATTAAATTTTTCCATAGCATCGGTCAGCCTACCCATTCTAGAAAGTGCTGATATTACAGTTGAATATGTGACAACATTTGGACTCACACCTCGTTGCTGCATTTCCGTAAATATGTGCATTGCATCATCCATCATTCCACGTTTAGCATAGGCATCAATTAATATGGTAAAAACACGGCAGTCGGCTGCAATACCGTTGCTTTCCATTGAATTACATAGATCAATCATATCAGCAAAGCATCCTTCACTGGCATAACCATGAAGCAAAATACGGTACGAGACAATATCAGGTTTGTGGCCTTTGGCAGTCATGGAATCAAATATTTCTCTAGCTTCTTTGCTTCTTCCATGCTTGCAAAGGGAAGTCATTAACGAGCCGCAGGTAACAGTATTTGGTGTAAGACCCCGGCTTTTCATTTCTCTGAACATTTTAGCAGCCTCTTTCAACCTCCCAGATGTGGAATACCCATGGATCATGCAAGTATATGTCACTTCATTGGGTTGAGCACCATTGGCAACCATCTGCCCAAGGACTAGCTCTGCCTTGTCCATTGCTCTAGCCTTACACAACGCATCAATAATCGAGTTATACGTCACCACATTGGGCACAACACCTTGCTGCATCATTTGGTGGAACAGACTGCATGCCTTGCCCGTTTCACCTTCCTTGAAGAAGCCATGGATGACCGTGCTATATGCCACCACGTTGGGAGAGCAGCCACCTCCTTCTTTCGCCATCATCTGGAGCAGCCCCCGCTGACTCGTGTTGTTGTCACATAAGCTCTTCAGAACAATGGAGTATGAGAAGGCATCAGGCACACAGCCAAGCTCGGGCATCCTATGAAGCAGCACGTTGACAGCCTCTTCCTTACGATTGGCGTAGCAGAGGCACTTGAGGAAGGTGCTAGCGACGATCTCATTTGTCTTGAGGCCCGTCCTGAGGAGGCGACCAAAGAAGGCAAGCCCTAGGTCCGGGCGAGACGCGCGGCAGCAGCAGTCCATGAGGATGCCGTAGGTGTGGACTGTGAGAGGCGCCACCCGCGGGCCGGCTTGTTCTCGGCACACGCGGTTGAAGAGGGCGATGGCGAGGGCGGGACCATCTCTGATGCAGGCGGCAGAGGACGTAGCACGCGCGAGGGCGGCGAGGAAGCCGTTCAGGGAGCGCCCGGGGACCGGGGCGGCCTGCCGCAGTAATTCGTCGAACAGGTGGTGTGCATCGTCTTGGCTGAGCTTCCCGGCGCGAAGACGCTCCGTGGCTGCGGCAAAGGCCGAATGGGGGACCAGACGCGTGAGGGCGGCGACGTGGTGGTGGACATGGAGGAGGAGCTGCGGCGGAGGAGGCGGAGGTTTGCCATCGGCGTGGTGAAGGAGCGATGGAGGCGGAGGCGGGACGACGGACGGACGGAGAGGTGTAAGGGGACGAGTGGCGGAGACCGGAGTGGCGGATGCGGAGTGGCGGAGGAGCAGCGGAGGCGGAGTGGCGGATGCAGGGGCGAGGTGGAGATCAGCGGCGGCGGATGCGGCGGGGCATCGGCGTCGGGAATGGCCGTGGAGTTCGTACACAGTGGGAAGAGCTTTGGAGTCACACAGCTGGTGTGTGCTTTTTGCTAATTCCTGTCACTCTCTAATCGGTTCAGTTGGAAGTTTCTCAGAAAAAGCTTTTTTTTCTCTCTTTTCTCAAATGGTGAATTCATACAAATCACTGGACGTTGGTCAATAAGCCAGAAAAACGAGTCAAGCTCGAGCTTCAGAGCACCTCCAATTATAGCATTTCTTTAAAACCCTGAAAAGTTTGATGGGGTTGCCCCTATTTTTTTAGGCAGGAGCTATATCAAGCATTAAGCGAGGCGGGAGTATCTCTCGTATTAAGAGTCCACAGTAACAGACAGGCCTTGTAAGGGCACCTTTAAAAAAAAAGTGATCCAAGGATTACATCCCGGGTCTTCTCGCCGATGTGTAGCGAAGCTAGCCATTTAGTAAGCGTCGGGATAAAAGATCCGGTTTTTATTGTTTTTTCCTTTGTCTTTCATCGGTTTTTGTTCGTTTCTTTCTCCATTTTTGCCATTTTTTCCTTTGCTTTCTCTTTTATTTTTTTCTTCTGTTTATTTTATTACTATTTCTGGTTCTCATAGATTTTTTTCCTTTTCTTTTCCTTTTTCTTTATTTTACTTCGGTTTTGTTTGCCTCTTTCTCATTTTTCATCGATTTTCCTTGTTTTCTCTCGGGTTTCTCTAGCTTTCTTTACACATTTAGAAATATGTCTAATACATTACTTTAATACACGTTTAACATTTTTATAAATTCTTAAATAATTTTTTTAAAATACATAATTAACATTTTCAATACATGGTCAACATTTTTTATACACATTTAATATTCTTAAATACAAAGTTTAAGATTTTTACATGGTCAACATTTTTTCTATGCATACTTAACATTTTTTTAATATAAGTTTAACATTTTTTTCAATACATGATCAACATTTTTTCTATACATGTTTCTATTTGCCTAAAACAGTGTTTCCAACTTTATCAATGGACCCTATTTATAGCCATATTTCTCTTTGCCTTTGGATCGACACATGATACCCATAGGTCACTAGCTCATTGTTTCCTTTTTTTGTTTTTTCTTTCCCTTCTATTCCTGAGCACATCGTCAATCCGTTGCACTGTTGCTCACCTATTTTGCAACCCCTAGCTTGTTGTCGAACATGAAACATCACATAGTCACGCGGGAAGGCCGGATGACACTGGGATACGACGCAGGTCGCGGCACTTCAGGACAAGGCGGGTGGAGCAAAGCTTCATGTCGGGAAGCTAGGTTTGGGAGGCTAGGCGTGGATGCCGCCATGGAGGTGTGCAGGGAGGCACTTAAGGCGCCGGGATGCTAGAGGTGAATGAAGGGGCTATGCTATGGGCTGTTGTTTTTTGCGGACCTCCATATTTTAGGGTTGTAGTCGGGGATCATGTTGGATTTCCCCCCCTCTTAACCCTAAAAACCATTTGGGGGCATGTTTAGAGACATGCTATAATTTTTTTTTTTGATTGTATTGTCATGTCCATAGAAATCATAGATAGTTAATTTGTGTAAAAATGTGCTTGATTGCACGAGAAAAAAAGAGATCATCCATATACAATTTCTTTGAAAATGTATAGTGCAAAAATCCGCAAGATATAATCCAACAAATCAAACAACCCAAGTGGAAATAATTCGATGAAAATCATTTAAATTAAAGATTTCAAGATACAACCATTATCTCAAAAAGAAAAAAAATACAGCTACGGATCGGGGGTTCCTCGTTACTTGAGCGGAAATAGCATCTTCGCTGATTCACATCTCATACTATCTAGACAATTGTATCTTATACTGTGACACGGTTACATGCTGCTCTTGCCTATCTATTTCCTTGAGATGTACATACATGCATAATAACATTGCGGATATCTCAAAGTACAGCAGCCTGCTTGATCAACCAAAAAATGTAGCATCGTTCCAATTCCTTCCAGAATCAACCTGAAAGAAGCCATCTCAGATACTCGGTTCCATCATCGTAAACAGGAGCAGGTTACCCTCTTTCGCATCAAAGTCTCGACGGAAATGGGCACCCTCTTGTGCCTGCCTGGACGAGGTCGTAATTGCTCATCAGCATCCACGAAATCGACCTGCAAAGGTTTGTTGAAAAGCTGTGACTATCCTCGTTAAAATAGATGTTCCTTTTAGCAAAGGCATGACTACAGAGGTAAACTATGGGAGTTATTCTTCTGTGATTAATGATTACCTCAACATGCACGTGATCGCTAGGTCCATTTCTCATGATTGCCCCTTACATGCTATGCTTGTATGAAAACATAGAATCCACATGTGAAGGGTCTATCCGCTCCTGAACTGCCTTAATATGCTTGTCCAAATTGGATTCCTGAAATTCAAAATTTTGAGAATGAAAAACGGAGCAGTTTTGCAATTTATTGCAGACAGAAACAAATCCATGAAAAAGAGTCAGACATGTGAGATTGCAAATCACGCCTTTAAAAATGAGCACTTGCAGTCCTCAATGTGGCATTTAATTCTCAGTGAGAAATATATATTTTTTGAAATGTGGGCAAAAGCTTTACCCGTTCCATTAATTAAGAAGATTGATGCCCAGTTAATTACGGAAAACCGGACAAAAATCGATACAACAAGGGCTAAGCCCACTTCCAAACATCGATACTCACTGCGCCAAGCCCACTCTCGTCAATGACATGCCGAGCGTAACAACAGGTGCCAACAGGAGGCCCCGCTCAGCCAACACGCCAGCCTATCCACCCTCGCCGGACAGAAGACGCCATGACTGCTATGGGAGGAGCAGACCCGGGACTCTCCTGAAAAGGTGAGCAGACCCGGGACTCTCCTGAAAAGGTGAAAAGGCATGCACTCCACAGGAACCTCAGTGAAAAATGAACCTTCATGCATTCGCTGATGACACTTGAAGTTCTTTTAGCTGCTTAGTGCAATAGGCATCACTGAACATATCGGTGACAACAGCATAGAAATGTTTCTTTCATAACCATGGGCGGAACTAAATGACAAATGAATGATGCGTTCGAGTAGACATAAACTTCTGCTACCAAATTGTTAAATCCAAACTTGCACTTGTTGCATACAAACATGAATTTGGCTGAATGCTAAGCTAGGTATGCAACTGAACCGAGGTTTCTATGTAGCCAAAGTTTCAGTAACATACAAGAATGAAGCCTGTTTCAGATCCTTTTAATCCACCCAATTCCTTGCAAACTCAGTTGACATCCAAGTGATGCTATTCAACCAAGAACCAAGATTGAGCAAAACATAAGAACGGTTCGCCTTCAACTATTTTCGAACAACGCTAGGTAGAAAGAAGCTGAGATCTGAACAAGAGGAAGGGGAGCAAGAAGGATGTGTATGGTGGAGGAACTCAATGCTGTCCTCACCGTGTAAGTGTGTGCATCCGGGGGAGTACCTGAAGCAGAGAAGTAACTGTGGCGCATTGATGCAGTTGAGGACCAAGAAATGAACAGAGAAGGTAAAGGTTGCAGCATGGATTCTTGGAAACTTTACTGTTGCAGGGCAGTACGGAGAACAGAGGGCACCAGAACTGGAGAGGAATGCACACCACAGTGTAAGAGAGCAAGAAGTTTTCATCAACCAAATGCTATGATTCCTTCTCTGTCACCTGAGGTAGTGTTAGTGTCCTCCACCCTGAAGCGAAAGCTCACACCGGTGAATTCTTGGCCATACCTTTACCTACATCATGGGGAAAATTAGTTGAATCTTCAGTGAAGTAGTAAAGCAGATAGAAATCAAACTGGAAATAATTTTCTCACCTGTATGTGACGAGCTCCCACCAGTGCAACTGACAGCAGCATAGAGTGTAGGAGAGTCCAGCATGAGCTCGTATATTTATCCGCTAATTGGACATAACATGAGCAACCTCAAACATCAGTTCGTCCAGGACCTTTTTGCCCAGAAAAATAAACAAAATTCTCAAACTAGAACTAAAACAACCCTTGAGATAGCAGATCACTGACAATGACATTGCTAACAAATGCATTCATATGAAGGAAAGTGACTGCTTTAGAGAGTTTATAAATCTCAGGTGGCTGGTACAAATCATACTAGAAAAGATTGTATTTTTAATGCTTCTTGCGGAAGATTATATATGTATACCACCTACCCCAATCGCCATCTGATCATGAAACGCCACAAAAAGAACTTGATGAAATAGTGAGGGTCTAATTTCTACCAGCAGGCACTTCGAATTTCATACACCCGCAGGAGGCTTTATGCAAGCCAAAACTCAATTGTGCTTTCTGACTTAAGCTCATATGCAAGCAAAAACTCAACTGTGCTTTCCGAGGAGTTACCCTTATATGGAAGGTATCAACTAGTCAACCAAATCTATCAAAAAATTGAAACTTTGCAGGCAGCAATTTCATGTCCTCCCGATATTTGCCTTTCTTTGAAAAGAAAGACAACATCAATGAAGTTGTTGACGCTTCAAGTGAGATGCTCTTCCCATCAACTTTAGACAAGTAATTTCCGGCCTTGGCAATCTCACCTATTTCCAGCAACATTCTGATGATACGATTTAACAGACGGGAGCTGGGGACTATACCAGTGATTCCATGGCATTAAGCATTCCAAATGCTTTATCCATCTTGCCAACTAAGCAATATCCGTCAACCAGTGAATTAAATGTAATGGCACTAGGCCTCTCACCTATGTCTATAACCAAGTCAAAGATATCATGTGCATCCATAACCCTTCCATCTTTGCATAAACTGTTTATTATTGAACCGAAGAACGTAATGCTAGGACGAGGAATACCTTTGTTCATCATTTCAGAAACCAGCTCCTTGGCTTTAATCAAATCACCATGCATACAAGAGCCCTGAATTAGGGTGTGATAAACAGCTTTGTTCGGTTGAACCCCCATGGAAATCATCTGATTAAATTTCTCCATAGCATTGGCCAACCTACCCATTCTAGAAAGTGCTGATATTACAGTTGAATATGTCACTACATTTGGACTCAGACCTTGTTGCTGCATTTCCGTAAATATGAGCATTGCATCATCCATCATTCCGTGTTTAGCATAGGCACCAATTAATATGGTGAAAACACGGCAGTCAGCTGCAATACCATTGCTTTTCATTGAATTAAAGAGATCAATCATATCAGCAAAGCATCCTTCACTGGCATACCCATGAAGCAAAATACGGTATGAGACGATATCCGGTTTGTGGCCCTTGGCGGTCATGGAATCAAATATTTCTCTAGCTTCTTTGCTTCTTCCATGCTTGCAAAGGGAGGACAGGAAGGAGTTGCAAGTAACAATATCTGGCATAAGACCCCGGCTTTTCATTTCTCTGAACATTTTAGCAGACTTTTTCAACCGCCCAGATGTGGCATATCCATTGATCATGCAATTATATGTCACTGTATGAGGTTGAGCACCTTTACTGATCATCTGCTGAAGGACTACTTCTGCCTTGTCCATTGCTCTGGCCTTGCACAAAGCATCAATGATCAAGTTGTAAGTCACCACATCGGGCTCAACACCTTGCTGCATCATTTCATGGAATAGATTGCATGCCTTGCCTGTTTCACCTTCCTTAAAGAAGCCGTAGATGACCGTGTTATATGCCACCAGATTGAGAGAGCAGACACCTACTTCTTTTGCAATCATCTGGAGCAGTTCGAGCCCCCGCTGGCTCATGCCATTGTCGCATAAGCTCTTCAGGACAGTGTTGTATGAGATGGCATCAGGCACACACCCGAGCTCGGACATCCTATGAAGCAGCACGTCCACTGCCTCATCCGTCAATTTCGCATAGCAGAGGCACTTGAGGAAGGTGTTGGCGACGATCTGGTGTGTCTTCAGGCCTTCCCTGAGGAAGCGGCCAAATAAGGCAAGCCCTAGGTCCGGGCGACGGGCGCGGCAGTAGCAGTCCATGAGGATGCTGTAGGTGCAGCCTGTGAGCGCCGCCACCTGCGGGCCGGCTTCCTCTCTGCACACACGGTTGAAGAGAACCACTGCGAGGGCGGGGCCATCTCTGATGCAGTTTCCGGAGGCGGGCGCACGGGCGAGGGCGGCAAGGAAGCCGTTGAGGGATCGCTCGGGGACCGGTGTGGCCTGCCGAAGCAATTCGTCGAACAGGGTGTGTGCGTCTTCCGGCCTGAGCGCCCCGGCGCGGACACGCTCCGTGGCCGCGGCGAAGGCGGCATGGGGGGACCAGGCGCATGCAGGCGACGTGGTGGAGGAGGAGCTGCGGTGGAGGGGACGGAGGCTGGACATCGGCATGGCGGAGGCGTAGTGACGGAGGCGGGAGCGGGGCATCGGAAAGGTAGAAGATGACGAGCGGCGGGGACGGAGACGGAGGCCCGACATCGGCTAGGAGGAGGAGGAGGAGGAGCGGCGGCGGCGGCGGCCGATGCGGATGAGGATGCGGGTGCGAGGCATCGGCGTTGCTCCGGGACAGACTGGGAGTGGAGCGCCGGCTGCGGGTGCGAAGGCCTTCGTGTTCGTAGCCGTACGCAGTCGACAGCTTCCTCTGAACTTGATTAGGTGGATTCTTGGGTGGGTCCCATCTACCAGTGGGACAACTCCTATGCCCCCCTTCCCTCTCAAGCTTATGCGTAATCATGCTTGATTAGGAGTATTTGCTACACTTCCGAACAAGTATCTTGAACTAGAAAAAAAGTGACACGCCTTCTCGCCCTTTTTTACGACGGGGTTGTCCATCCTGAAACCGTTTGTACCAGATACATTCGTCTCCAGTTGATGACCTCCATGACGGACACCACGCCTGACAAGTGTTTGGTCAAATGTCATTGAGCGTATTTTCAAATGTTATGCCGCTTTTTTGAGTACTTCCTTCGGTCCTTTTAGTTCGCATACAAAATTTGTTTGAAGTCAAACCTCATAAACTTTGACCAAGTTTATAGAAAAAATTATCAACACTCAAAATGTGAAATTAACAACATTAGATGCGTCATGACTTTAGTTCTCATATCATATGAATTTAGCATTGTAGATGTTAATGTTTTTTTTATATAAATGTGGTCAAACTTTCGAAGTTTGACTTTAGACAATTCTTATATGCAGAGTAGAAAGGACTGGAGGGAGTACGAAGGATGGTGAGCTACTCAACCATGAAGGATAAGTTATTGTGTGATGTGTGGTTGGTCGTATCCGCGGATTTTCGTAGGCAGGAGCGGAGGGGAGACCTTCTGGCAGCAAGTGCATGAGAAGTTTCATGCATGAGAGCACATTGCGCCCTACAACATGTACATAATTCAACAACGCAACGTGATGTCGTTATCGTATTGCTGGTACACTATCCAGACCAGCGGCGCTAGACTTAATTTTCATGCTATGTATGGATGATTTGTGCTATTTTCTATTCGAATTTTGATGAATATCGGTCAGTTTGCATGAATTTTGTAGGGTTAGCTAAAATGTAGATTGAAATATATGCGGGAGCGTTGGATGGCGGCCTCCCGGGACCAGCCCGCGGACGAATGCGGGAGAAAATTTGCAAATTGCCCTTGGATGCCCTTATGTTTCATGGTTGCATGCTTAGAAAAGTTAGACATGCATATGCGCTGATGTGGCATGTCTGCATACTCAGGAAACTTACTCCCTCCGTGTCAGTCATCCCAAGTATCTAGCACATATACCGTATATAGAAGTATAAAATTTAATTCAAACAATATAACTTATGATGAGTGCCATGCATGGCTTGCTAAGGCTGGCCACAGTGGTGGTATCTCAGTATCATGCACTCGAGAATAGCAAACATGCTGATATGGCAGAGAATTAAAGAAGAAAGAGGGGGTTAGAGTAACATATGTAAATATTGTATCATGACAAATTTACTTCATGGAACATGGCAATTCCTTTTTTTGGACCATGACCAATTTACTTCATGAACGATGGCAATTTTCATTTTGTATCATGTCAAAGTTTACTACATGGACCACGACAACTTATTTTTTGGTATCATGTCAAATTTACTGAAGAATCCTTGGTATTTTTTTTTTGTTTTCTATCATGGAAAATTTAATTTTTGCACCAAGGCAAGTTTACCTTTTTATGGAAAATTTATTTGTACGCACCAAGGCAATTTTCATCGTACAACACATGATGATTTTTGTTTGTGGTAAATCATATTAGAACATGTCAAATTTGTCAAACAAATTGTGGTCATTTTTTGTACGTTGTGGCAAGTTGTACTTAAACATCATATGGCAAATTACATAAGAATGCAAGGACTTTTCTGTAAAAAGTCCAATGACGTACAACCAGAAGCCATAGCTGGGCTGGTTTATTATTAGGGAAAGACTTGGTACTATTTCACAATTTTTCTTTAAATCCTTTTTGTCATCATCTTGTGAAACAATGGCAACTTAGGTTCAGACGTGTTTTTTTTAAGTTTTCTTGTATGTGTTTTAAGTTGTTGCAAATTTAGCTTCTCATGCACGTCAATTATAAAACTTCTTGTAAGGCATTTTTAACTACAAACATAATGTCTACTTTTTTGTGCATAAGATTTTTTTAAAATTTTGATATGGCAAAATTTTGTACAAACATACCCCACAGACCCCAATAGCTGGTTGCCTGGTTGTTTGTATTCTTAAGGGGTTGCAAAAAAATAAAGCATTTTTTGATCTGGTTTGTTTGAACATGATGGCAGTCTTTATATGTATCATGGTAATTTGTTTTATTTTGCTTAGCCATTCAAAGTCATGTCTAAATATCAGTTTATTAAGCTTGGTAGTAGTCAAAAGAAACCCTCAGGCAAGCTTACATTTCATGCATGTCTCCGGCGCGATTAGCCGCATAAAGAATCTCGCCAACCAAACGCTCCACGGCGAGATCATCCGAGACAACGCCGAGGTGAGATGTATTGGCAATCTTGATGGAATCATAGTACTCCAGTCTCGGGTCTTCACCGATCACTGTGTGAAGCGCAAGTATGCTCGCCAAGTTGACGACCCCGTCGCCGTCACCATAAACCACCTCTGGGGCCGCGTCGAGGCCGCCGCTAGGGTACGTAGATGAGCTTCTCTGTGGCCGGCACGCCCACACCGTTGACACACGTCACGGGCACCACCGGCGGTACGATGCTCAGGGCCGCTGGGAGGTCCCGTGTCTCGTAGAGCCGCACGGCGCCTGGCGGCAGCCCTGCCGCCGCCAGGAACGCTGGCATGTCGCGCAGAAGGTGGCTTTTATTGCCCATGACCGCTAGCGGCGTGCCATCACCAAAAGCGACGGGAGAAGGCATCGCGGTGAACGTGCAGGGGAAGGTCATCGTGACGTCCGGTATCGACAGGACGTCGACGGAGCAACCTGTGGAGGCGAATTGCTTCATAGAAACCACGAAGCCGCCGGCGCCCGTGGAGGCCATGTCGAAGTGCTTTTTTGAGTTTTGTTAGGGTTTATGCCATGTTCAAGAAGACGAGGCAGTGGCGCCTTCTTGAAGATGGTATAAGGTCCTCCCCGCGTAGCCCCCATCCCGGTGATGTTTCAAGCGTTGTCAGAAGGCATATGGAGGTTTGTCTTGGACGGATCTCGTGGGATCCGACCGGCGTTTGTCTTTGGTGGATTTGACTGGATCCGGTTCATCTACGACTGTGTGTCTGCAGATTGGATCATTCCGATATATGCTTTTCTTCATCGACGGTGGTTGTTGTTCTGGTGTGCTAGTCTAGCACGATGACTTCCTAACTGTCTACTACGACAATGTTTACACAACTCCTCAAGGGAGGAGCGATGACGGTGACGCGCCTTCGGCTTGCTCCAGTGCTTGTAGTCGTCGCTAGGTGGTTTACGGATCTGGATGTAAATTTTATTTCTAGTGTTTTTTGTACTACCTTGACAATTGATAAATAGATAGGAAGTTTTTTAGAAAAAAGAAAGAGAAACTTAATAAGGAGGGCCTGCCTGCATGGCCTAGAACAGTACACCAGGATATCGTTGGTGTTTCCAAAAGTCGACGAGAGGCACACGCGTTTCCAAAATTTGTGAGGCAATGAGCAACCTTATTTTTGACGAAACGCTGACGGAGCAGCTTTTCATTGATATTAGTAGAAGAGGAGAGTTGCTGTTACAACAGTAGGGTTACAGAGGAAGTATATCCCCACAGAACACCTAACAGAAGGGTCCTCTAGATACTCAATCTGGCTCTCTGGGTCTGTGGATCAGCATTGCGATCTTGGTCTTGCCGGCCGCCGTCCATTGCTCGATGTCGTCCTTGATGCGGGACATCACCTGATCAACTGTTGAAGTCTTGTTGTCGAAAATGCGAGCGTTCCTCTCCTTCCAAGTGTGCCACCAAACAATTTGGACGAGTGAGTTCCAAGCTTTCTGGTGAATCTTCGGCACTTGCTCCTCGCTCCGTTCCCACCATGGAATCAACGAAGAAGTCGTGGTGACCGGTCCGAGCGTGGTTGGCAGGCCACACCGCTGAAGCACCATGTTCCAGAGCTCGACAGCAAAGGGGCAGGCGGCCAGTAAGTGGGGCGCAGTCTCCTGCTGTACACCGCACAACCGACAAATCGGATTGTGTGGCCAACCTCTCTTTGCTAGGCAATCTGCAGTAAGAATTTTCCCCAGAGCAGCCATCCAGGAGAACGTCTTGCATTTCAGGGTAGCGTCTGATTGCCAAATGAGTTGCTTGAAAATTGATCGCTGAGAGCCTTCAAATTGAATGGCGTATGCAGACGCGGTGGAGAATTGACCATTGGAAGTCCACTTCCAAGAAACTGTGTCCGGCTGATCACCTAGAGTAATTACTTGCACCATCGCCCATAGACTTGTGAATTCGCGGATAGCATGTGGTGAGATGGTTGTCTTCAGGTGTCTTGTCCATCGGCTTTCCTCCATAGCGTGTGCCACCGAGAGCTTCTTCCTCGTACAGAAGGAAAAGAGAGCGGGGAACCGGTGGCGTGAGCTAGTCCATCCATCCATGGGTCTAGTCAGAACCTGATTCGATGTCCATTGCCGAGGTGGAATCTAGCTGATGCTGCAAAGAGGTTCAACACTTTCGGATCTGAGGGCAACGGTAAATCACTCCAGGCCTTGTTTGGGTCAGTCCATTGCATCCACATCCACCGTAGTCTCAGGGCTGTACTCTGTGCTGCAAGATCTGAGATTCCTAGTCCTCCGAAACATGTTGGCCGACATACCACCTTCCAGCTTACCAGACACTTCCCACCATTTGCAAACTCCTTCCCTTCCCATAGAAATCCTCAACCCTATTGACGAGCTAGTTTTGTGGGAACAAGCTCTCTTAACAGCAGCTAAACTCTGAGTGCCCGAGACCAGCTGACCATATGCTGATTTAACTAGGCCATTGTCTGCCAAGCAAAGGTAACGCGACTGAA